TTGCCTATAATTTAAAAGTACAACATCCTATTTCCCCAAAAATGTATTGTCTCCCCAAAGTCCACAAACCTGAATGCTCCTTTAGACCCATTGTATCCTACGTTGGCTCCCCATTCTATAATGTGGATCTAATCAAAGACCGAAACATTACAGACGATCAAATTTTTCTAAGCCTTGATGTAATCAACCTTTTCACATGTGTTCCCCATGATTTAATACTTGATTCAATTCAAGACCGCTTGCCCACTATTTGTAACTACACCGACTTTCCTATAACTACTTTCAAACACATCATTAACACTGTCCTGAATTGTTCTTATTTTAATTGTTTCAATAATTTTTATTTACAAATCAAAGGTACTGCTATAGGATGCCCATTATCCCCTGGCATTATAGACCTAGTTTTACAAACCCTTGAATTTTCTGTTTTCTTCACATTAAATTTTCGAATATATTTTTATGTTAGATATGTAGATGACACCTTTTTTATAATAGATAAAGAACAATCATATATGATACTCGATACCTTTAACAATTACAATAAGAACATTCAGTTCACACATGAAACACAAATCAACAACAAATTGAACTTTTTAGACGTGACTGTACATAAAATTGACAACATTATTTGCATAAATTGGTACAGAAAACCTACATGGTCAGGAAGATACCCTCATTACGCGTCCTATAGTCCCAAAAATTATAAAGTCAATACAATCATTTCTTTGATAGACCACGCAGTCATGTTGTCTCACTCTTCCTTTCATACCCAAAACACAACATTAGTAACTAAAACTTTATTAGAAAACGGATATCCCATCACCCTCATCAATTCCATTACCAAGTTATTCCAGGACAACAATATTAAACCTACTTTTCACAGCATGCCTTACATTGAAGGCTATTTGATTATTTGGCCAAATTACTCAAAGAAGAAAATATTTTTATTTCAGGAACAGCTCTATATTCTTTTAAAGAAATGTTTTCAAAAATTAAATCCACCACCCCTCCTAAATTCAATACTAACATAGTTTATTCAATCTCTTGCAAAAATTGTCAAAAACAATACATTGACCAAACATCACAATACATTCATAAGAGAATGAGACAACATGAATTAAGCGTCACTCATCATAAAAGCCGAAGTTTCCAAAGCACTCTTGTCCAACATTCCATTGAAAATTCTCATATTTTTACCTTTGAACCCATTATTTTATATAGAGAGGATTGTACTTTTAAAAGACTTTTTTCTGAAAGCAGTTTAACCTTTTTGAATTCGTCAAATTGTGTTAATAAAAGATCAGATCATAACATCATTCATGACTCGTATCTAAATTTTTTAAACCTAATTGAAATAATTAATCCTTTAATAATTTTTGGGTATATATATACATGTATATGTGTTGTAATATACGCACATCCATATATGTGCTTATATGTATGTTTTTGTTTATACACTATATACATGCACTTGCGTATATGTTCGTGTATATAATTGTAGGTACATGAATATATAGATATATGCATATGTATGTATGTGTATGTAGGTGTGCATGTATATATACATAATATTTCTCAACATTTGCTAAAGCAATATTTCCTCTTTTTTCGTAAACAACCAATACAAGAGCCACAAAAAAATCATTTTTGCCTAAAATTCCGTACATATCCCTTACATCTGGCCGACAGAACTCCATATCAGTGTATTTAAGTCTTGTGTAGTCGTAACATCTACAAATATCCTCCAAGAAATCGAGTGTTTTTAACAAAAAATATTAGTGGTATGGATATATAAATTATTACAGGTAAATAATTTTTGCTTCTCAATTTTATATAAAACCTTTTTTAGTTAATTTTTATTACTCTTTACACCGGTACATAATCCATTCATTTATATTTTTTTCTAATTAATCTGTAATGACCATCATTAATTAATGTTAATTAATAGTTTTAAAAAACATTGTATTTGACAGAATAAACCTGATAATTGAACGTACCTAGTTCCGAAACGTCGTTATTAAACATCTTCAAAAAAACAAATTGTTTTTTATTATTGGATTTACTGTTCGGAGAAGAAACAATCAATATATTGAAAAAATCCAGGACTTATCTATTGAATACATATATATATATATATATATATATATATATATATATATATATATATATATATATATATATATATATATATATATATATATATATATATGATATTCAGTTTTCAGGGCAATACATCAATTAAAAAATTTGTATGACTTTAAAACATTTTTATTTTTTTCATACGTTTCGACACATTGTTTTGTGTCATCTTCAGTGGACTCTAGATTGAAAGAACAGATAGAAATTATTAAATAAAACTAATATATAAGAAGTGATATGGTATGAACTCACATGTAATTGATTTAATCCTAATTATTTCATATTATAAATGTTCACAATGCACAATCCTAATTATTTCATATTATAAATGTTCACAATGCACCAAAAAACCAATCCTTGTCATTTTAAGTTGAACAATATATAAATTTTTGAGTGAGATTTTTATGAATTTGTAAAGTACATCACGCCGTACATTTCTGTGCTCCGATGCACGGGTGACGACTGAATGTACGTCAATGTGCGAACCACGTGTTGAGGGCTAGGTACAAGGCAAACGAACTGACCAAAGAATTTAAGATTTGACAACGCGAGAGGGTACATATTGTGAAATATAAAAACATGACAATTGTGAGGGTGGACATAATTGGTAAAATTGAAATAAAAATTAAAAGAAAAAGAAAAAGAAAAAGAAAAATTGGCATTAAAATTAATATAATTAAACGTCGATCATGATAGTCGATTTTAACTCCTTTAATAAACGCCTCACCTTCACCTTCGAAAAAGAACACAATAGGTCAATTAGCTTTTTAGATGTAAATATCATAAAAACTCCGGAAAATAAAATTATTACTAACTGGTACCAAAAACCAACGTGGTCTGGCAGATATCTCAATTTCCATTCTTATCATCCCACTAACATGAAAATCGGTACTATTATCAATTTAGTTGATCATGCTATTCTCTTGTCAGATAAAAAATTTTGGCCTTTTAACTTATCTCTAATCCACAGAACCCTATTAAATAATTGCTATCCTCCACATCTTATAAAATCAGTAATTAACAACAGACTTTCCGTCCTTAACACAAAACATAATCATCCTTCCCTCGAGTCTCAGAAAAAAGAAGAAAATAAGTTTATTGGCACTATTTGTCTCCCTTACATTAAAAATCTCTTTCCTATTTGGAAAAAACTATTTGAATTCGCGGAATTGCGTTTAGTTTGCAATATTGATCAGACCCTTAACTTTTTATTTTCGAACTTAAAATCACCGACAAGTTTAGATCGTATTTATAACATCGTGTATAAAATTGACTGTACAAATTGTGAGGCCACTTATATTGGCGAAACTGGACAACATCTAAAAAAACGTCTTAGACAACATTATAACAATTCCAAAAATAAAAATCAAAATCAAACAATGATAACTGACCACATACAAAGTTTCAATCATATTTTCAATTTTGATGTGGCCACAATTTTATATCACGAATCGAATACATCTCAGAGACGCTTTTCAGAATCATGTCTAATACACCTTTATAAAAATAGCTTAAACAAAAGATTGGATACTTCCTCACTGTGCGAGAATTACCAAGTAGTCTTAAATAATGTCTCGAAATTCATATCTTTAAAATAGTTACCTATCATGATCGACGTTTAATTATATTAATTTTAATGCCAATTTTTCTTTTTCTTTTTCTTTTTCTTTTAATTTTTATTTCAATTTTACCAATTATGTCCACCCTCACAATTGTGATGTTTTTATATTTCACTATATGTACCCTCTCGCGTTGTCAAATCTTAATTTTTTGGTCAGTTCGTTTGCCTTGTACCTAGCCCTCAACACGTGGTTCGCACATTGACGTACATTCAGTCGTCACCCGTGCATCGGAGCACAGAAATGTACGGCGTGATGTACTTTACAAATTCATAAAAATCTCATTCAAAAATTTATATATTGTTCAACTTAAAATGACAAGGATTGGTTTTTTGGTGCATTGTGAACATTTATAATATGAAATAATTAGGATTGTGCATTGTGAACATTTATAATATGAAATAATTAGGATTAATTCAATTACATGTAAGTTCATACCATATCACTTCTTATATATTAGTTTTATTTAATAATTTCTATCTGTTCTTTCAATCTAGAGTCCACTGAAGATGACACAAAACAATGTGTCGAAACGTATGGAAAAAATAAAAATGTTTTAAAGTCATACAACTTTTTTAATTGATGTATTGCCCTGAAAACTGAATATCACATATTTCAACATCAAAATTATAAAAAATTTAATATATATATATATATATATATATATATATATATATATTCATAATTATTAGATATATATACAATAATTAGATTTTTTTTGTTCGACGTTGAGACATATCTTTAATAATGATTTTCAGCCAGTCGTCGAAATGAAAGAAAACATTAATATATATATATATATATATATATATATATATATATATACATATATATATATATATATATATATATATATATATATACATATATATATGGGCCGATTCTACCGTAATATAGACCAATGCTATGGCAAGGCTGTGTTACGTTCCAGTTCTCATATAAAATCGTACCGAATATTGTAAAAAGCCATGTGCTTGCTTGGGAGTGAGGAGTTTTAATTAAAACGCACAGATGTCAAAAAAAAAACAATCTTATGATAACTGGATCTTTCTGATATGGTTTAATAACATACGAGTGAACTTGTAGTTTATGTGTAAAACGCCTAATTGTGCAGTAAATACATGGCTTTTGACAATATTCAGTACCATTTGTCATAACATTAGTCTATTTCACGGCAGAATTGGCCTAATAATTTTAATGAATTTTCATTTCCACTTGAATATCAACATTTTTTTGTTTCAGATCCTCATACCACTTTCCTTGTACGTGACTTTAGAGATGTGTAAAATGTTTCAAGTATATCACATATACAATGACATTTTGATGTATGATTCTTCAACGAACAAACAAACAGAATGCAGAGCCTTGAACATAACCGAGGAACTTGGGCAAATTCAGTATATATTTTCTGATAAGACGGGAACTTTAACAGACAATAAAATGGTATTTCGTAGGTGTACAATTTCTGGTATTGATTATAGACACATAGTTAATAAAGATTTGAGGTCAAAGGCAGTTATTGATGTTCAAACAGCAATTAAACCTAACTCAAGATTGATGCAAGATTTAGAAAAATTAAATTCTAGTTCAACTTCAGATAGTCACTCTCGAAGATTACAAGATTTTTTGTTAGTTTTGGCTTTATGTAATACTGTCGTTGTGAGTCGATCACCTCATCAAGACTTTATGAATGCTAGTGGTGTAATAGAATCCATTAATTCACCCGTGTCGGGTGAATCGAAATGTGCTAATAATGCTATTGAACAATTGGATATTAGTGAGCAATTCCCAAGAAAGAATAAATATGCGAGACTAATGGATCTTAGATCTGTAACTCCGTCGCCCATTAGCAATTTTAGTGATACCTCTTTGGAAATAGTAAGTAACGACAGATCGAATGTGATAGAAGCGCACAATATTAACTTAAATAAACCTTTGAGCACTATGGAAGACACAGATGGGATGGCAAAAGAGCAACAAATTAAAAAAAAACTCAAATCTAAAAACAGAAAAACTAATGAATTTGCGGATGCTTCCAATTTATCGAATTTAACTATTGAGAAACCAGTTTATGAGGCTGAAAGTCCAGATGAATTAGCTTTAGTGGATGCAGCGTTTTGTTACAACTGCCAATTAATAAATAGGACACCGCAATTAGTATCAGTTAATATCCCATATGCAGGAATAATTGATTTTGAAGTATTATATATCTTACCATTTGATTCTGATAGAAAATGTATGTCGATTGTTGTAAGACATCCTCATACTCGACAAATTGCTTTATATTGCAAAGGCGCTGATAGCACTATTTTGCCAGCTCTTGCTCCCTGTGCAGACGACCCAGATATGAGCTCATTTATTGAAAGAACGCAAGTCCATTTGAATTCGTATGCAAAGCAAGGTTTGAGGGTTTTGTTAATGGCGAAAAGGATTCTCTCACCAATCGAATTTGCTGAGTGGCATAAAAAACATAAGCAAGTTGAAATGTCTGCAGATAATAGAGAGCGTAGAATACGAGAGTCATTTTTACGTTTGGAATGTAATTTAATTTTATTAGGTGCCACTGGCATAGAAGATCAATTACAAGAAGGCGTACCTGAAACAATATCTGCTTTAATACAAGCGGGAATTGTAATTTGGGTTTTGACAGGTGATAAGCCAGAAACTGCTATCAATGTATCATATTCCGCCAAATTATTTTCGCCACAAATGAGACTTTTAAAACTAATGGCTAGATCGAAAGACTCCACAGAGAGAATAATACAATTTTATTTAAACGAAGTTGAGAAGCGAATGCCTGATTATTCAGAAATAAATATAAGTACTATATGTACTGACAATATTTCGCCACCTACTGTCGCTAGCAGTGTATCACATATAGATACAATACTCGGCAAACGCCTTTATAATGAGTACGCGCTAGTTATTGATGGAAAGACGTTAACTTTTATTTTAGATCAGCGATCGCATTTAATAAAACCATTTTTGACATTGACAAAATACTGCAAAAGCGTGCTATGCTGCCGCGCAACTCCACTTCAAAAAGCTTATATAGTCAAGATTGTGAAAGAACAGCTTGAAATGCGTACTTTAGCCATAGGTGATGGTGCCAATGATGTGTCTATGATACAAACAGCAGATGTAGGAATAGGCATTTCTGGTGAAGAAGGAATTCAAGCTGTAATGGCCTCCGATTTTTCATTACCCAGGTTCAAATTTCTTGAAAGATTTTTGTTAGTGCATGGCCACTGGTGCTATGATAGACTTGCAAGAATGATTTTATATTTTTTTTATAAAAATGCGGTAAGTAGATATATGTAGTAAATAATAAATCTTTTAGTAAATTATATAATATATATTTATAAATACAAATATATATATATATATATATATATATATATATAGATATATATACAGTAGAACCTCGATTATCCGGACCTCGGTTATACGGATTTGCGGTTATCCGGACATAATCACGTCGGAAATTGCATATTCCGCCCGCGCCGCTGTTTCGCTGTCCCGTGCGGCATTATCGCTTTTTGTCGTGCATATATACATTTTTAAACATGCTAAAGCGTAAGAGGGTGGTGTTATCCCTTAAAGATAAAATAAATATTATAGAATCATTAAAAAATGCGAAACCGGCCGTAAGTTAGCTGATAGTTATATCCACTATAAGCGATATTAAAAAGAATGCCGATTCAATTTTGTCGTACACTTGCAAGTTAGATTGTGAAGAGGGGAGTGAAAATCGGAAAATGATGAAGAGACCGAAAAATGAACTCTTAGAAGAAGCTCTATATTGTTGGTTTTTACAAAAACGATCAACAGGACAACGATTATCTAGACCTTTGGTCTGTGAAAAGGCATTACACTTAAATGAAAAATTAGGCGGTGATCAATCGTTTGTGGCAAGTAGTGGATTAATTTTTGTTGATATCTATGTATATATTTGTTATTTTCGATAAACAAAACATTATTCTTCACAATTTGGATTATCCGGATTTTCGATTATCCTGATGCCTATCGACAACAATTAGTCCGGATAATCGAGGTTCTACAGTATATATATATATATATATATATATATATATATATATATATATATTGATGAGTTATTTTGATTCGGGCAGTAACACCAAGTGAAAAGAAAAACTAAAGTAGTTTTGAAATACTTTATTTATCCATACGTTTCGATCTTCGTCGAGACCGTCATTCAGTGGAGAAACTAAAAGATTTTATATAATGTAGGAGGAATTTTCATTAGAGAATTACATTACCTGTGGAGAAAACTTTACAGAAAAAATAATATTAGAGTAGTTTGTACTTCCGAAAACACTCTTTCAACTCTTTTTACAAAATTAAAATCGAAATTTAACCCAAGAATTTTAAGTAATCTAGGTTATAAGCTTAATCGTCTAGATTGTAATTGCGTTTACATAGGTGAAACCAGTCAAAACTTGCACAAAAGAACATCACAACATAAAAACAACTCTAAAAATAGAAACCAATATAAAGCATAACTAACATTAATCAGCTCAAGCATAACATAGATTTTTCCAATCCCACGATCCTACATTTCGAAAATAAGTTATTTAAAAGAAGATTTAGCGAAAGATGCCTAATATCTTTACACAATGAGACGGCCACAAATAAGAGAACAGACAACAATTTCACTTGCGATGACTATAAAATAATCCTTTACCATTTTTCAAAACACCACCATATATGAATGAAGCGTGTATTTTATTATTTTACTAAAAACATACGTTTTCCAGTCTTTCTACACTTTCGCAAAAATGTTGTAAACATAATTCATTTGGTATTTAGACGTTAGTTAATCTGTACACACTAGAATGTAACCAAAAATTGTCAAAAATAATTAGTTTAAATGTTTCAGTTATCAATAGCTTGTATTAATGGTAAAATTAAATTTATTACTTTGATAATATTTACATAACAGTATTCCATTTATACAATAATACAAAGTATATTATTCCTTTGGGCAGGCAGTCGAAATAGAATGATTTTATTGAAACTTCTTTCTTTTATACCAGTGATTCCCAAAGTGGTCCACATGGACCCCCAGGGGTCCATGGCAACTTTCAAGGAGTCCACGAAGGCAAAAACAAAATTTGGGGGTCCACGAATTGAAAATGGGAGTCCACGGCAGTGGATTACAATACACCATGTTAAAATCTATTTATTTACGTTAAACGATAATATAATATATAGATTTACAATAAATCTTTTAATACAGTTGGCAATATTTAGAAATAATTCAAAAAGTAAAGAAAAACATTACATATTTATATAAAGTGTGTAAGTTGTAGCATGTAGGCATTCGAGTTGTGGTTAAACTATACGCTGGCTGTTGAAAAGCTTAATTTTGGTAAGATTTTTGCCCTTAGAATTTATAAATGCCAAATATAGAGGTTTAAATGGCAATTCAACGAAGTGTGATATAGATACCACTTATTTGGATTCGATAAACAAAATTTTTTTTGAATTTTAGTCCCCTCAGCAACAAATTTGGACTAAAGTGATTTGAACTAAACTTTTAGACATGTAAATTACACAGGTAATTTTGTGCTTTGGTGGACAGTAAATTATAGATATATGTAGTTTATTTCTGGGTTGGTTATTGAAGAAAGTTGATTATATGAAATGATTACTGACAAATGTTATAGGTTTGGTAGTGCTTCATGTTTCTGATTATTATAGCAGTTCTACCGTTAGTTGTTCCACGTGGATTAATGTTGTAACTGGTTGCATGGCACCGTGCCTTAAGTCAAATTGCTGGTACTTCCCGTACCGTCAATTAATTTTTTTAAAAAACCTTTAATTTTTTTTGAAAACATTGAAAAAAAGATTTTTGAGAATTTTAAAATTTCTGAAAAAATCTGACTTTTCTGAAAAATTTGATTTTTTTTTATATTGCGAAATATTTTTATATGTACTTTTAATTTTTCTGAAAATTTTGAACTTTTTTCGAAAGCAATTGTGCTGCGTGGCTGTTTTAGAGAAAAAATATCGTAAGCATCGCATTCTAGTCTAACGTATTAAAATCTCTATAAAATATTTGATAATTTGATATGCATTTGTCTAATGATCATTTTTGACCGCCAAATGGCATTTTTTTTTCTTTTTTAACTAGATCTCTGAAACCGCTAGACCTGCCCTCGCTAAAATTCTATATATAAAAATGTTCATTTTCGATTTTTTTGGCGATTACTATAACTTACCCTACGGGGAGTTAAAAATCAAATTTGCTTAATTTAAAAAAGTCTAAGTTAGTAAAGCGTATTTTCGAAAATAACATATGATCAATTTGATGATGTTTTAAAAATAATAATAAAGCCGCTATTTATTACTTAAGGTTTGAAACTAATCTCATTAATATATTTATCTCAGCGAAGTCCATTTTAAATTCATTTTGTTGCTCGATATATTTAGTTGAGCAGAGAACGATCTGTTAATAGTATTACAGGTAACAAATATATGTTACGTAGCAAAAAGATACTATTTAAAAATACAATAAAAAACAGTTTGTTTATAAATATTTTTTTCAGATTACAATTGCGGACTTTTAGTATGAAATTGATTACTCGATTATATGTTACAATCATCTTTTACCATGCTTTTATATTATATCTTATATTTTTTATTCTATATGTTTTTTCGCATTTGAGACTTCTATAAAAGTTTGTTCAATTTTCTTCATAATAAACTTGAAAAAATTACTATTGGCTTGTTTGTTTGTTTTTTTTTTAATTTTATGAAATTAAATTTGCCTTTGGAATTTTGGAATCAGCAATTTTCTCATTTATAATGTTTTACGAGAGATAAAAAACACATTGATTCACATAATTATAATTCTAATTTGATAAGTAGTTGTAATTTAATTTTAATTAAGAAAAAAGAAATTTAAATTAAGAAAATTTTATTTAAGATTTAAACCTATACTTTTCAAAAATCCGGGAAAAATATTGATTTCGAAAAAAAAATCCGGATCAAAAGGTGAAACCCGAAACTGTCCCGGATAAACCATAATATAGGGCGTCCATGACAAAACGAAAAATATCGCAAAAGGTCCACGGTACAAACAAGTTTGGGAACCTATGTTTTATACCATGATGGAGATACTCCCTCTTTAACTCTTAGGTAGTTATCCTCATTAGGTCCGCATTCAATATAATTTTGTATTCTAGATTATATTCATTCTTCTATTTACAGTACATCCATTCCAATTCTTCTCAGACACTCTTCGTGTTTACTTCTGATTAAACCTTTAGTGAGCATATCTGCTGGCATCTGTTCCGCACCTTTTTCCTATTAGATTCTCCATCTAATTTTGTTGTAAAAATTAATCTGTTTCCAATAACTTTCCTTTGTTGGGTCGCTCAACTATGTCCCAAGACATTCGTCAGCATCACCTAGCTGACTTACTAGGTTTTAGGTGTTTTTAGGTGTTTCCAAGTCGTAATATTAATTTTGGATATATTAAAAGCATTTTCAAATATTTCACATTTTTCACTAATCACATTATTTTCGTTTGAGTTTTGAATCTCTCCATTAGAAATCTCTTGATCAACCTCCCCTTCTCCAGAGGATTCCTCTAATGTATCTTCGATCATCTCTTCATTTATTTGATATTCTTTTCGCGGCCTTTCCGCATGTTCTATCCGAATAATCCTAGGGCGCCTTTTTCCACGTTTTGATTGCTGTTGTGCTGGTCTTTCCTGGTTTGTATTTTGCTCGACATTTCTCAATTTTAAATATACATCATCATCATTTTTACTATATATCTCACTGTATTCATCAAATTTATTAAATCCAGAATATTTCAAGAATCTAACGTCTCTGCTCTCAATTATCTGATTGCTTCCCAGTACATATATTCGATAAGCTTTAGCATTATTCGAATAACCAATAAAAATTACAGGTTTAGATCTCGAATCAAATTTTCCTTTGATATTTTCATTTTTAATCAAAACATATGCTTTTAATCCAAATATTTGTAAATAACCTAAATTTGGAATTTTTCCAGTCCATACCGTATATGGTATACCTCCATCTAGTGCACTTGGTGGTCATCTGTTTCTTGTGTAATTGGCTTTGCAAACAGCCTCAGCCGAAAACTGTTGTGGTGCTCCTGCTTGCTTTAACATGCAACGTGCCATTTCTATCAATGTCCTGTTCTTCTTTTCGGCTACACCATTTTGTTACGGCGTAAAGTAAGCCGTCTTTTGATACTGTTATTATTTAAACAATTATTGAATTCATTATTACAATATTCTCTG